ACCTGTCTCTCTCTCTCTGGAACACCTGTCTCTCTCTCTCTCTGGAACACCTGTCTCTCTCTCTCTCTGGAACACCTGTCTCTCTCTCTCTCTGGAACACCTGTCTCTCTCTCTCTCTGGAACACCTGTCTCTCTCTCTCTCTCTGGAACACCTGTCTGTCTCTCTGGAACACCTGTCTGTCTCACCTGCTGCTCTGTGGGCTGCAGGGCGGAGCAGTGTGGCCTGGCGGTGGCGGCGGTGGTCTCCTCCCGGCTGTGGATCTCCTGATGCTTCCTGAGCGCTCGCTGCACGGTGAAGCGCTTCATGCAGACGTGACACTGGAAGGGTCTCTCTCCGGTGTGGGAGCGGATGTGGTCGGTCAGGCGGGACGAGCGGGAGAAGCCGCGGCCGCAGATGTCGCAGGTGTAGCGCGGCGCCGTGTGCAGGAGGCGCTTGTGCTCCTGCAGCTGCTTGGAGGAGCTGAAGTCCTCCTGACACAGGAAGCAGTGCAGAGCCTCTTCCTCCTGCGGAACCAATCAAACGTTAGAACCCTCTCTGAAGCAGCGGCGGGTGCAGGGCCACGCCCCCTCCTCACCTTGTTGGCCGAGCCGTCGGCGTGTTTCTCCAGGTGTTTCCTCAGCAGCCCGGGCCGGTTGAAGCTGCGGCTGCACAGCGAGCAGGGGTGGCGTTTCTGCCCCGTGTGCAGCTGGACGTGGTCCCTGAAGGACGAGGCGGAGGAGAAGGACTTCTCGCAGAGCGAGCAGGAGTACTGTTTCTGCTCGGCGTGGCTGTTCTGGTGGTCCACCAGGCCGCTCCTGGAGGCGAAGCGTTTGGGGCACAGCGAGCAGCAGAAGGGCTTCTCCCCGGTGTGCGTGCGCTCGTGCTGCACCAGGTAGCGGCGCTGGATGAAGCCCCGCCCACAGAAGGAGCAGGAGTAGGGTTTCTCAGAGGTGTGGAGGACCAGGTGCCTCCTCAGGCAGCCTCTCTGGGAGTAGCTGACCCCGCAGTGTGGGCAGGAGTAGGGCTTCTCTCCGGTGTGGACCCTCTGGTGGATGTACACGTTGATCTTCTTGGTGAAGCGTTTGCCACAGGTGGAGCAGCTGTGCGGCTTGTAGCCGGCGTGGGCCGCCATGTGGTCCGCCAGGCGGGACGGGCCGGCGAAGCCGCGGCCGCACAGCGAGCAGAAGTGAAGGCGTTTGGATTTGCTGCGTTTTAACGGCGGCTCGTCTGTTGTGGAGCCAGCCTGGGGGTCCAGATCCGCCGACCATCCTGCATCAGATTTAAACAGCTCAAATACTACAGTAATACTACTACACAAAGTACTGCAGTACTTTACCCTGACCTGGACTCTGCATCAACTCCAGACTTTATTTATTCAGATTTCTTTCTGAAAACCATCAGTGTTAATAATCTGCACTGAATCAACATATTTGCAATGTGTTTCACCTCTCTGTCCGTCTGTGGATTCATGTTTTTATTCTGGTCTTTATTGTATAAAATATATATATACACAGTAACATTTATTGTATTTATTGTTTTTATTTTAGTACATTATATAGTGTGCTGTGAGCACTTTAAAAGAGAGCTTCTAGCCTCCATGTATAATGTATACAGTGACAGACTGCTGCATCCTAAATGCACAAAGGAGCGTCACTGCAGATCCTTCCTCCCAGCAGCTGTTAGACTCTACAACCATCACTGCTCCCAACAATCTCGAGAAGCATCCATGTTTGTGTTTACACATTAAACAACTCTATCTGCACACCCCCCGGGATCATCAGTCTGCCATGACTGGTTTTCTTGTCAGTTTTTTCTGCACAGTCTGTGTATGTAGTGGTCACCTCAGGCCTCGGACACGCCCCTTTAAAGGGATCCTCAATTAGTTGTAACATTAGACTTTATATGATAAATATATATTTTAACTGTAAAATAAAGACTGTAAAAATAATGTAGGATGTTTAGTTTTTATCATTTTTAAAGTAAAAGTTAAAAAATATATTTCAACACAGACGGAGCCATTTTATTTGCACACAAAGCATTCTGGGTAAATGATGACGTGGATAGGTCCTCGGTGCGAGGCTGCTAGCGAGCTATATCCACCCTGAAGGTTAATCTTGGACAATATCTGATGATCGACTCTTTTAAATGAAACCAGAGAGCGTTGACAGAGAGGAGAAGGTAGAAATGACTCAGCCTGGAACTGAAAATATGGATGGAGGACAACAGGTTAGCTTGTTTGTCGCGCTAGCGCGACAAACAAGCTAAACTGAGGTCCTCCATCCATATTTTCAGTTACAACTGAGTCATTTTTGTGTTCCCCTCTCTGTCATGTGGATGGAGGACCTCAGTGACGAGAGGAGAATGTGTAGCGCTGAGCTAATACATATATATGGTGATAGTGTCAGTGCTAGCGCAAAGGCTAACAGGCTAAGCTGAGGTTGTTCTTCCATGAAGCAGCTCTGTTGTCCTCCATCCATATTTTCAGTTCCAGGCTGAGTCATTTCTACCTTCTCCTCTCTGTCAACGCTCTCTGGTTTCATTTAAAAGAGTCGATCATCAGATATTGTCCAAGATTAACCTTCAGGGTGGATATAGCTCGCTAGCAGCCTCGCACCGAGGACCTATCCACGTCATCATTTACCCAGAATGCTTTGTGTGCAAATAAAATGGCTCCGTCCGTTTAGAAGTCTAATGTTACAACTAATCAGGGATCCTTTCAGACAGACAGAACTCTGTTCCAGTTAAAACTGAATTTGGGACAAAACAGGTCGTCTCAAATATAAAGAGACATTGACTTCTCTTAATCAGATAATAAACAGAAGAATCTTGTTATTTGATTTATTTTTCTCTTAACTAAGAGTTATTTACACATTTGATAATCATGAGACTGAAGAAAGAAAGTGGGACAAACTCCTGCCCCTCTAACTGTGATCTCTCTCTCCCTCTCTCTCACTCAACCGGGTTGGTACCGGCAGCGGTTCTGCAGAACTGACCCAGTTTGAGCTTACCTGGTGAGCTGTGACCTGATGACCTCTGACCTGGAGCAGGAAGCTGCTGACAGTCCTCCTCTGTCTGCTCCACTCCATTCATCTCCTCAGGACCTCTGAAAGCAAAGCTTCAAATATTAACAAAATAAAAGCACGTCCGATTCACAGAGGACTGTAGAAACTGCAGTTTGATTTAATAACAACAGATTGTTTTGTTTTTACACACAAAACCCATCCATCTGATCCAATCAGTGGTTCTGATTTGATCTTCATCAAATCAAATCATTTTATTTATTTACTGAAGACTTAAATCAAACATTAATCAGCCAATCAGAGCTGAGATGTTCAGGTTAACATGAACCAGCTGATTAAAGCTCAACATAAACACTGACCCAATAAAAAACAATCAGAACCGACCTGTGGGACCAGAACCGTTAGCTGTGATGCTAGCAGCAGCAGCGGAGGCGGGCCGGGTCGAATCAGGACGTCAGGTCCAACGAGCCCAGCGCGTCCACATGGTCCACACCTGAGGACAGGTGTGACTGATCTGCTGAGCAGAACCGCTGGTTCCGACAGAGAAACAAACAAAGCAGACACCGGAAGTGATGTTGATGAAGAAACAAAGATGGCGCCGGTGCCTCCTCGGCTCAGTGCTGCCGCCGCTGGCCGGAGGCCGGAACTGCAGCTCAGTTTTTATTCTTTATTAATTTAATTTAATCTGTTTCAGAGGATTTAAACAAAGTTAAACTGGTCCTTTTCATCAGGAACATGTCAGACATGATTAATGTCTCTGAAAACATTAATCCTCTCAGGTTCAACCAGGTCAGACATGTGAAACATAAATCTGCTTTAAAGTGCTCAGAATGACAAAACAACTAATTATGTTTGTTTCATAAACAACAGTGATTTCGCATTTATTCACAATTAAAAATAAACTATTTAAATTTATGTTTTCAGTCACACAAATCAGGCTGTAAATCTGGATTGGCCCTAAATGTTTCTGAATTATTCTTGTGTTTAATAAGATCACTTGTTAAACTGTAAAATGTTTACAGATGTTGGTTTGTTTTAAAATCAGTAAATTTAACAAAAACTCATTTAACCAGTGAAGAACTGAGTCGTTTGTGTTGAAAAACAAACATGTTGATAAAAGACAAGAGAAACCCTGGAGCTGCTCTGTTTCTGAACATTTATTTAACAACGTGGACACACACACACACACACACACACACACACACACACACACACACACACACAGGAGCTACTTTTTCTTCTTCACCACGTGACCACAGTCATATTTGCCTCTGACCACGGTCAGCTTGACCCCAGGGAGGTCCTGGGTCCTCCCGCCCTGAACCAGGACCACGTTGTGCTCCTGCAGGTTGTGTCCCTCCCCGGGGATGAACACCACCACCTCCTTCCCATTGGACAGACGCACGCGAGCGCACTTCCTGTTGGCAGAGTTGGGCTTCTTGGGTTTCCTGTTCATGGTCTTCAGGACCACACCTTTGATCTGAGGGCGGCCGAACGTGGGGCCCAGGGGCTTGGGTTTAGGTTTGTACTTCCCCCTGCGGTGCAGCTGGTTGAGGGTGGTCATGGTCCTGGAGAGGAGGGGTCCCGGCCAGGCGCAGGCCAGCTGGGACGCTGCGGAGACAAAGAGGACGCTGTCAACAGGTCACGTCTCTGACGTTGTACATCTGTCCTCATCTCTTGGGTCAGAGGTCAGTCATCTGATCAGGGTGGTCTGCAGGGGAAACCCACCTTGAATGAGTGACGTCAGCACTGGTCTCAGGTTCCAGAACATTTCTGCCACAAAAACACGAAAAAATCAGTTCAAACTCATCCTGTTATGACCGGAAACAGATTTAACTCATTTATGTTGTTTTTGTTTCTCTGAGCAGTTTTACTGGATTCATTCATTCTGTGACTCAGTTTCCTTTTCCCTCAGATGATCTCAAACTGTTTTTAAATTAACCATTCCCAAAACAAACATATACCGAAAAAAACAAACATTTTATCATTTATTACCGCTAAAACATTTTCACTTAGACATTTACAACGTGATAAAACCAGAATCAGAAGCTGTTCGGTCCGTTTAGACAGGCTAACAACAGCTAAGCTAAGCTAAGCTAAGCTAAGCTAGCTTCCTGATCGGCACTGCGAGATTATTTTTAAGTTTCTGAAACAACAAACCTGCTCAGAAAATCCAGAACAACGTCAGATTATCCAGAAACTACAGTGGATTAAAAACAACTGTTTACAGTTCAAAATTACATCAAGTTAATATCTTTTTATTTAAAGCATAAACCAAGGACATCACGTTAGAGCAACATAAACCTACAAACAGGATGTACTTCTTTCTGCTTCCGGGTCTGTTCTACAAAATAAAAGCCGTGTTTTTAAATGTTGCCCTCACGAAACTACAGTCTGTCAGAAAACAGAGAATCTCAGCAGATTAACAATCATCAAAATAGAAAAAAACGGTTCGTTTCGAATAAAATTCTATTTAAAATACTTGTTAAAATGTCTGAAAAGTTAAATCATAATTACTAACTGGGATATTTTCAGTCAAAATAGATTTTAATTAATTTAATTAGATCATGTATTTGTTGTAAAACATTGTTTCAGAGAGCAGTGATGCTGTTAAACATGAATTAAATCAATTTAACGACTGATGGAAATTATTTCATCTAGTGCTGTATCAAACAAATTCTAATCGATTAATCTAACCATTATTTTTTCAATTAATCGATTATTCTAACAACAAATCTATAAGTTATTCTGATGTGAGTGCTCTGGATATTTAAAATGTTTTCATCAAATTAACAAGAACAGTTCTTTAATATTGTCATATTTTCTGTAATAGTTTTTTCATTGACACAATATGCACTCAAGAGTCAATTCTTTAACAAAAAAAGCTTAAAAGATTTAACATCAATATAAAATTTAAACCAAAACAGTTTGGAGAGAAAAACAAAGTAAAGAACAAAAAAAGAAAACAATTAATCGATTATTAAATTAGTCATCGATTATTTTAATTATCGATTAATTGTCGATTAATCATAGCAGCCCTAATTTCATCATAGTTTGATCCAAAGAGAAAAACTTTACTGAAAGTTTTCTGTCTGATAACGATGGACTGAACAGAGATTACAGATTACAGTAAAATCTCCCCTCAGCTGATAAAACCGTCTCCTCCAGTTAATAATTACAGCTGATTGTAATAAAGTGCTGAAAGAAACGAAGCGATCTGAAGCTTTTATTTTTCCACATCCATAAATCTGAATCCAAAGTTTACATTTTTATCATCATCAAGTTATATGATCACAAACATGGAAAACACAGATTCACTTTAAATAAATAATAAAAATAAACAAATAAATAAATAAATAAATAAATAAATAAATTTTGGTGCTTTTCAGACGTTGATTTATAAACCATGATCTGAAACAAATGAGAACTTGGTTGTTTCCTGAGTCTTGCTGAGGCTTCGTCTCACTCTGTACTCAGAAACTAAAGTCAAACCAAAGAAATGAGAGTAAAAGAAATAAAGTGTTGTTTCCTGACAACAGTTTACGTGGCTTCAGAGCTGCTATCAGGTCCTCCTGAGGTCCATCAGTCGAAGGTCTCGTCCCTCATCAGCAGATCTCTATCAGACGAAGCCAGTTAAGCATTAACCAGACTCACCTGCACAGGTGAGGGCGGGCTGAGCTGCAGGCACTCACACTGAAGCTGAAGATGAGGCTGCAGCTCGACCTGTTCCTCCTGCTGGTGCTGGTGGTGAGCAGGGTGGTCTGCACGCCCCTGAAGAAGAGCGAGGACAGGAAGAAGCTGCTGCTGGTGTCCTTCGATGGCTTCAGGTGGGACTACGACCAGGACGTGGACACGCCCAACCTGGACCAGCTGGCTGTGGACGGGGTCAAAGCCAAGTACATCACCCCCCCGATGCTGACCATGACCTCGCCATCCCACTTCACCACCATCACCGGTACGTACTGTACTGCTACTGTTTAACAGCAAGTACTGCAGCTAGTACTATCTATAGTACTACAGGTGTTACTACAGGTGTTATTACATGTGTTTTTATACAGACGTTACTACAGGTGTTACTATAGGTGTTATTACAGANTACTACAGGTGTTATTACAGATTGTATCATTGTACTACAGGTGTTACTACAGGTGTTATTACAGATTGTATTATAATACTACAGATGTTACTACAGGTGTTATTACATGTTTTTATACAGACGTTACTACAGGTGTTACTATAGGTGTTATTACAGATTGTATTATAGTACTACAGGTGTTACTACAGGTGTTATTACAGATTGTATTATAGTACTACAGGTGTTACTACAGGTGTTATTACAGATTGTATTATAGTACTACAGGTGTTATTACAGATTGTATTATAGTACTACAGATGTTACTACAGGTGTTATTACAGATGTTACTACAGGTGTTATTACAGATTGTATTTTAGTACTACAGGTGTTACTACAAGTCTTATTACATGTGTTTTTCTACAGATGTTGCTACAGGTATTACTATAGGTGTTATTACAGATAGTATTATAGTACTACAGGTGTTATTACATGTGTTTTTATACAGGTGTTACTACAGTTGTTATTACAGATGTTACTACAGGTGTTACTACAGGTGTTATTACAGACGTTACTACAGGTGTTACTATAGGTGTTATTACAGACGTTACTACAGGTGTTACTATAGGTGTTATTACAGATAGTATTATAGTACTACAGGTGTTATTACAGGTGTTATTACATGTGTTTTTATACAGATGTTACTACAGGTGTTATTACAGATGTTACTACAGGTGCTATTAGATATGTTTTTATACAGATGTTACTAGTTATTACAGACCTTACTACAGGTGTTACTATAGGTGTTACTACAGACGTTACTACAGGTGTTAGTATAGGTGTTATTACAGATAGTATGTTATTACAGGTGTTATTGCATGTGTTTTTATACATATGTTACTACAGGTGTTATTACAGATGTTACTACAGGTGTTATTACAGATGTTATTACAAACAGGTATTAGATATTAGTAGATTTATCTCTGATTCCACGGAAATCCTCTGAACCGTTTATCAAGAACTCTGGTTATTTTATATTTTTAAAAGGACTGATCTAGGTCAGGACCTGGGTCAGGGCCTGGACCAGTTCAGGGTCACAGTGTTGAGCGTTTGTGTGTCCATCAGGCAGGTGGGTGGAGGACCATGAAGTGGTCCACAACATGATGTTCAACACCACCACCAACCTGAAAGTTCCTCACAAAGAGAGCATGAAGAGATCGGAGTGGTGGGACAACGGAGTTCTGCCGTTATGGATCACAGCCCAGAACCAGGTGGGTCATGGGTCAGCATACCTGGGTCAGAACACACCTCCTTGTTGGTTTCAGGTCTGTGATCTTAACTGAACTTTTCCTTCCAGGGTCTGAAAACTGCTTCGTTTTTCTTCCCGGGGGGCGGAGTCTCCTACAGAGGTCAGGCGGTCAACAGAACTCGTCTCGCAGAGGTGGGTCATCCCGATGACAATGTGACCGAGTGGCGTCAGAACGTCGACACGGTGGTCAGCTGGTTCTCCAAAGAGGAGTTTGACCTGGTCACGCTGTACTTTGGTGAGCCCGACAACGTGGGCCACGCCAAGGGGCCGGACCACCCCGACAGAAAGAAGATCATCGCGCAGATCGATTACATCATCGGTTACCTGAGAGACGCCATCAACAACCACAATCTGATGGACAGTCTGAACGTCATCATCACCTCAGACCACGGCATGACCACCATAAAGAAGAGACCGCAGGTGGACGAGATCATCCTCAACAAGTACTTGAACCTGATCAAGCTGGCCAGCTTCGAGATCCTGGACTACGGTGGGTTTGGAATCCTGACTCCACGCCCGGGGAAGGAGCAGGAGGTCTACGATGCTCTGTCCAAAGCCCCCAACCTGACAGTCTACAAGAAACACGAGATGCCTGAGAGCTTCCATCTGGGCAGGAGTGAGCGGCTGCCCCCCATCGTGGTCATGGCTGACCTGGGCTTCAACCTGAACTCTGTAGGTTTCACACTAACCCTCCTGCTGCCCTCGGGTCAAAGTGTACAGATCAAAAACTGACCCAGACCTTTAAAGGGTCTGTGACGGGCACATCCTTCAAACACAATAAGTCAAAGAAAACATCTATTTATTTAAGGAACTCAGGATTTTATCAGGTTCCTCACAGAACTGGGCTCAGCCAAAGTGAAACAGGAAGTGACATCATGGGGAACTCTCAGACAAGGAAGTTTCTGGTCATTATTTAAATATTATTTGACTCTTCGTCTCTCTGATAGACTCAGAATAATACAAAATAACCATCAGATTCTTCTCTAGTCTGTGTTCATTATTGTAGCAATGCTCTGTTTACATGCAGACATTCCCCTATGACATCACTTCCTGTTACTTCTCATGCAAATATCTCAAAACTGTTCATCTCAGCAGCGTGATTTTTTGTTCACAACACGTTAATGTTATCTTTCAAAAAATACATTCATGTTTGTTACAAAAATTTGATGCCACAGACAAACAGATGTCCAGTGTTGTCCAACAAACACAAACCTTTTTGTCCTGTGAGACGCTGATCCAGGAACAGATGGTTGAACTAATATTTGTTCTCAGGTCAGTCAGGCATTAAAGCAGGATTCAGTGAGCTTCATGGTTCCTTCAGCAGACAGGACCGAGTTATAAAAGTCCTGACTTTACCAGCATCCTGTCCTTCTGTCCAACCAGGAAACTAAGTACTTTACAACATGGGTCATTTCCCAGAACCTGCTCCAGCAGGTCCCAGAACCTGCTCCAACAAGTCCCAGAACCTGCTCCAACAGGTCCCAGAACCTGCTCCAGCAGGTCCCAGAACCTGCTCCAACAGGTCCCAGAACCTGCTCCAGCAGGTCCCAGAACCTGCTCCAGCAGGTCCCAGAACCTGCTCCAACAGGTCCCAGAACCTGCTCCA